CCCCCAATCAATAGCAGCCTCAATATCCCTCTTGGCGACTTTTCTCATAATCATCCTTGTTCTTCCATGAAGCCCGGCTGCTTGCGAGGCCATCTGAATACCAAGAGGATGTTATGCTTGCTGGCTTCAAATCATTCTTCTGGCTTCTTTCCACTGTAATGCCTTTCTTGACAGAGATGCAGAGCTTTAGGTTTTCTAGCTTGTTTTGTTCTACGCTTACCTGATGCCTGGACCTTTTCTGTGAAATGCTCCTGTGATGAGCTTGTACTGAGCTTTGCTTGGTACTAATGACCTCACGAAATACAAAAATAGGAAAAAATAGAACAGTCTTGCTGGGGGAGGAGGGGGCACATACATGGCTATCAGCAGCATCTTCTGTGTGAGCTAGGCCCATTGCCACGTTAGCAGAGAAGGGGTCTGTGGCAGCTGGGCATTTTCTTTTTGACAGCAGCAGCAAATCCTGGAGGGTCTTCTGAGGCACCTCTTAAAACTGTTTTACAAGCTATTAATGCCACAACAGAGAGGGAGTATGGAAGGTAAACGTGCAGAGATTTTCCCCTCAGGTTTCAAAAGTGAAAGGTAATATGGAAAAAAAGCAGAGGCCAATTGGCCAAGAGTTTACAGTTCACAGTGGGAGAGTGACAGTTTTAAAGAACCTCTTTTGTATTTGAGGCAGTTTTTCATCAACGACTGGACATAATGGCATGCACACCCTGAACCTATTTGATGGGAACCAGAGAACACTGGCACAGCAGTTACAATGGCAGATTTATTGGCATTTCATTTGGCCATTCTGTAGGACTCACCTTTGTTTTCAAAGGTTGCATACACGCTTGTGGGCTCACGTGCACTGGAGCACTAGATCACAAGAGGCACTTAGCACTGCAACACTGACCACTAGGGCATCTAACTTTTAGGTGTCCAGATGTTGAGGAGAACTCTCAGCATCCATAGCAGGATTCAGGTTTCCTCCAAAGTGCCTGGGGGACAAGATCACTTTAGAATGGGATTCAAAGGAGTCAGGTCTCTAAGTCTGCTAGCAGTGAAAGTCAAACAGATGTGTGCACCTTAAATCCTGTTACACTTAGGGATTTAGGCACCTATGTCTGATTAGGGTTCATATGTGCTCCTGGAGTGGGCGGGGGGTAGAGAGGTGTGCTTTAATTAAAGCGCCTGGAGCATCCTGTGTATCAGTGTCCCCACACTTAAAAATGGTGCTGGGATCACTTTAACTAAAGTTTGTTTGACAAAAGGCTGGAGTGTGCTGGACTATGGTAATTGCCACACTCCAGAAGACCTCATTAATTGAGTCTGTTCCGATACTCTGTCGGAGCAGCCTTGCTGCTCGTGTATAGGTGCCCCTAAAACCTTTTTTTCAAAAATGGAGGCAAGTCCACAGGAAGAAGCACGTCCCATCTGTTACTCAGTAGCTCAGTTGTCAAAATAACTGCTTGGGAATATCAGGTTCTATTCTTTCTTTTGCTTAAGAGATCTTGTACCCACATCTCTCAGGAGATACCCTAACTACCAGGCAATAAGATCTTCTGGAGTAGGTTCCTTTCATACCATCCTGTTGAAACTGTTCCATTTTATACACCTAAAACACTGATTGGAAAAATGATTCTGACCTGTACTCACCCAGCAGTTGTGGCACCCACCCAAAGTGAGGAGAGGTCTGGGTTTCAGTCCTGGCCCCGATAACCATAAAACACTGATGCAGCAGTTCACTGCACCAGTAACTGAAATCCTTCATCCTCCTAAGCACACACAACCAGAGTCATGCTTACATTTTGTGCTATTATTCTATGCAAAATGGAATGTTTCAACAGAAGGGCCTCAGAGAGAGAAAGAGAAAGAGAGACCATAATACACTACCTTCATGGGAAGTAAACCCTTCCAACTTATGGGAAAATACAAATATTTGTCCCAGATTACTCCAGATGTCCCAAGTTACCAGACAAGTGACAAAATTTGTTCTGATTTACTCTACCTGCACAGTTAAAGCACCGGTCATGCTCACTAACTGTTCTTCACTAGAGTGTTCAATCTGAGTAATACAGATCTGCCCCAGTGAGACTGCCCATGCATTCAATCTTTATTCATGCCCGTTTAGGCCATGAAACTTAGGTTAGCAGGTTAGCTCAAGTTGACCAGTTCTTGAAGCCTGCTGTGGTATCCTGCCTTGGTACCTCCTGATAGGGGTGAAAGGCAAACACTCCAGGCAGCCTTTTTCCCTGCCTAGCCAAATACAGTAGAGCCACAGAATGCAGACTTTTCTCTGTACCTTCATCATTTCCATGTACATTGTCACAAAGTGTGTCTAATTACATGCTGCTATCTATGAAAAAGTAAAACTTAGAAGCTGACAGAGGTTAGCTCTCTTACACTTATGTAAAATTTGTACCAGGACCTGTTTTATGTAAATCTATTATTAGCCATTAACAGAACCCTACGGTATCTATGTACATAGCATGTTCATGAGCATTCTGCAGCTCCAGGAAGTCACATTTTCCCAGTGCTTAGCCAATGACCAGTAATAAACATGCTGAGTAGTGCTGGCATAAAAAGATTAACCACATAGCTACAAAATGGGTTTGATACATTTTATTAGTGATACCAGTGTCATACTCAGGAACCATAACCCTTTGTCAGACTGTTAGTGTTAGCTTGCATGACAAGTATCAATGGTTGACTGTATTTGAAATATTGTTAAAGTGCCTAGAAATAATAGGCATTTAAAAAAATCATTCCATCCACTCAAACCGTTACGGATCTTACATCTTTAATACAACTGACGTAGTGTAACTGTTATTTGGACCTTAACGTAACCTCTACAGCAGCACAGAGACAATGCAGTTCTCTCATTATGCACATGCTTTTGGATCATTTATTTTAATGCTTTCAAATAAATATGTTCCATGCAGCACACCGCAATAAATAAGGAGCAGCAACTTTTGTATAGTACATCCATTCATAATGTAAGTCACCATGTGAAACACCACATCTAAAGTCTTTGGCCCAGTCCCATATAGTGAAGCACACCACATCTGCACATAATCATATCTGGCTTCACATGGATTTAATAGGACTATGCCAGAAGTGCATGTGAGCACAAGTTTAACCATGGGTTTCTAGCTATTAAATACAGCTACTAAGTAGTTAAAAGGCAACAACTAAACCCATAAAAGGTTTGATTTGTCTTTTCTTTCTTACTTTTTAGACAGAAATATAAAGTATGGAAACGCTCTGGATATTTTCAGCCTTGTGTAAAGCACAGTGTGATTAATATGGTGCACTCTGAGCAATACTGGTACATACATTGGCATCAAAAGCCACAGCAATATCAATTCAACATCGAACACTGGCATACTCAACGAGGAACAGAGACTGTGCCGGACAAAGAGCGCTGACTTTCTTTCCCTAGGTGGACAATTCTACGGCCCCTTCTTCTTCACTGTCTGCTCTGTTGGCACGGATTTCAACCAGTGTCCGAGCAAAACAGGTCCATTCGTCATTGTGTGGAACAGCAAGCTGTAAAATAAACGTATCATAGATTGAAAAAATTAGGTGGGATGCATAAAAAGGGAATGCTGTGCTATGAGCAGGTAATCTATTCAGGATAAATCCACAGGCCTCAATTTGAGACTAGCTCCTACTGGAATCAATGGGTGTTTGGCATAATTATGGACTACAACACAGGGTCCTTTCAAAGAACTCTGTGGTTTACCTGTAAGGTAGTTGCTCCCGCTTTAGTATCAATAAGAAATATTTGCTGCATTAAATACCATTTTATCTAGATTTAATCTTTAATTGATTTCAGTGGTATTTTGAGACCTGCAAAATTTGGCCTCTGTTAGAGAATTTGATATTTTTAAAAACGATGGAGGGCCTTGATCCTACAAACATTCACAAACACACTTAACTTTACACATGTATGAGCTGTCCAGTGGAAGTCAATAAGAATATTTCTGAGCATAACTCTTTGCAGGATTGGGGTCAGAACACAAAAGGTAAGTCTTTAGCAGTGTCTTCTAAGTTATTTTCCTAACCTTCATTTGAAACCTCCAATTACACGAAAGGCAGTAATCCAAATGTGAAACTTAATGCTAAACCAACTAAATACTGCATTACTGACCTGATTTTTAAACCCTCAAAAAAGACTCTTTTCCATTTAATAGCACTGATGTTTTGAATAAAGACTCATCAAACATTAGACTACAAGAGGAATATGTTGTCTAAATAGCTAAAACTCCCAGACAAACTGTTTTAGTGATACAGCAAAATAATACCACATTTTTTTTCCAGCTCGATCTACATCACAATTTCTGAGAGATAATGCAAAATGGAACTGATACAATTGTGGAGAAATCTAAATAGTTTTCTCAAAGTACACCTTCATCAACTCAAATGGCAACAGCATCCAAATTAACTATGCACATTTTTACTGCTTAAAGCCTGTGATCTTTCCGTGGATGGTAGTATGAAAAAGGAACTGTTTAAAGACATTATGCAGGGTTTGGTACTCAAAAAAGAACTGTTTAGAGACATGAAGCAGTGTAGTACACTAAGTGGGCATACTGTATGTTATTAGTCTATAGTAAGACTGATTTACCTTTTATACACCTTATATGGAGGAATACCTTGCTGACTAAAAATACAAGAAAGACAGCTGATCCTAAGTGACTGCTACACAATTGTCTGAAAGCTTACTACTTTTTTATAAGTTATCCAAATTAAAGTAGGTTTCTTTTATTTGGAAATAGGAAATTACAAAGCTATAAGAGTATTTTGGATTCTTGGATAACAAATTGCTTAACCATCCTCTCAGTACATATTTGGCAAGTAGTGAAACCAGTGGAAGCAGAGAAAAATCTACTGTATGCACGTCTGTTTGAGGTACCAATTTAGCAAATATTAAACAGATAAGCAAATGTTAAGCATGCGAGTAAGTATCCCATGTGTCCTACTTACAGGTTAAACTTCATCATGTGTACAAGTGTCTGCAGAGTTAGGCCTAAATATCTGATCCACATTTCAATAAGAGCCCTTTCGTCTAGTTCAGCTTTGAATCTGGTTCCAAGTCAGAAACTGCTCAAACATTCAATTAAAAAAAATGTTTTACAAATTTCCCTGCATAATGTACACAAACTTTTCTTAAACAGGCTGAAAGGTGGGTTTATTTCTAAAATTATTTTTATTATTGGAGTCTGGTTAAATATTTACTGAGGTCACTAACATGGAAATGAAGACTCGCTGTGAAAACTATCTCAGTCCACAGTAATACTGAATTAAGATTGCATCTTTGCTCACAATCTGTTTTTATATTTAGCCCTACCCCTATAATATTCTGTTTTTGCACATTTTTCTCTTTGACTTTAGCAAACATGAAAACACTCAAGTATTCGGTCCAGAGCTAAAGCAGCAGGTAGGCTGAGTTAGTGGTCTGAAAACATACAGAGAAATGGATCAGATCTATTTAGCTGAAACGAGGGATAAGCCCCACCACTGGCATCCATACAAGAGATGATGTTTACAAGGTAAGTGGCAATACATGTCCACAGTTCTAGCATCAGATTAGAGCAGCTGGAGGTTAACATATTGCAGTCAAAAGCTTTTGTAATCAACCTACTGCCAATTGTTGCCTCTTTCATAAAGAGTTTCAGTTTCTACTGTATTAGCATGTTGCAGAAAGCATACAAAGACCTATATGCAATAAAACAAAGTAATCTAATAGGAATAATTTTCTAGATGGAGGATTTGTGTGTGTGCGTGCATGGACACGTATGCTCATGTCCATATGCATGTGCATATGTGTGTAAGAAAGCTCTAACACAACTTGACTGAGAGTATTACACTGCATATTATCACTCTGGCAGTCAATATGGAAAGCTGTGTTGAAAAAAACAAAAATTTTAATTCAGAAGTTTTAAGGCCAAGCCATTGTGATCCTGTTGTTTGTTCTCATATAACATAGGCTACAGAATAATAAAATGAACTGCCCAGGCATTTAAACAGCTATAATTCCACCACTAAAATTTCTCATTACTTATGCAAGTATTAGACTTGTAAGAAAGTGTTGCAGGATCAGAACTTCATTTTTAAGTGTTTTTTAAAATCACCTCATTTAAAAAATCAAGTCTGTTTATTTACCATTAAAATATAAGTAGAAAGAGTTTGATAGAACCATAAAGATATACATATACCATAACACAGAATGATCTAGGATCTAACTCCTGTAAAATTTATACTCCTCCGTCTCACTCCACCTACTACTTGCTAATTTCATTTATTGAAAAAAAAATCTAAAGTTTAGGCATGATCGTGCAATAAAAATGTTTTCCAGATTGAGTCTTTAGAGTGCAAATTCCTGTGGTGAGATCTTGGCCTCACTGAAATCAATGGCAAAATTTCCATTGTTTTGTGTGCCACAATTACAATATGTCTTGTAATTATACTTTCAAGTGCATAACACAAATTTGGGTGCTACATAAAAACAGTAATAATTAAAAATTAAAGACCTGCAAAACCAATATTAGACCTGAACAATAAATGCAAAACTATGGCCATTTACTTTTCAAAATCTGCCTTGGCCGTGTACACATACCCCTCATTCTTTCATTTTCCACGTCTGTTTTGGTGAGCAAGTTTTACTTATGAAAAAAGAATTGAGGGGACAAGGGTGGCTTTTTGTGGACTCTGAATTTTATATTCATGTATACATTCACACACCAGGAATCAGGTAAGAAAAATAATAATATGTGGCCAATCTGCCAGATTTTTATAAGTATTTAAGCATCAAATCCCCAGCAATTTCACATTTTTGGTATTTTATAACCATTTTCACTTACTACATACAAAGCAAGGCCACTAGTATTTCACATTTGCATGGCCATTACATATAGTACACATCTTTCCAAAAAGATATTCATTGAATACATTGGAAAAAACATATTTGAATAAAATGGCATCAGCTTATGGATATTTTGTGAGCAGAAAAGGAAACCAAATGTTATTTATCCAGGTTCTCTTTTTTTTCTCCCTTTGCAATAATGTCTAAGCACCACCTGCAAGTAATTAATCAACTAAATTATTCATTCAGCTTTAACTCATCTAAAGTAATACTATATTTAGACTTAGTCAGATATTTGGGCATGTTTCTCTTAACAATTTCTACCCACCACCAGGGTCAGTTCTTACTACTGTGACCTTGTCTCTCATGCTCTCTTCCTGTACTATGAGGTGGTGTTTTGCATCAAAGGTCTCAGATTGTTTATATCTTTGTAGCTAATGCTGTGTAGGGGTAGACACACTCCAACTGAATCTGTCTGTGGCAGACCTTCCTGGACTTAACATTTATTACAGGACTAGGGCTTCATGGCCCAGGTCTCCTGTTCCAATCCTGTGTGCTTAAATCAACACAAATTTGAATCTGCCAAGAAATGCAGAACATTTGGCCATATGATGTCCATTCAATTACTGGGAGATGTACAGCTTAAGTTTTCTGGATAATTTTAAAATATCAGCTGAAAAGTGTAGGCCCTTGTCATGTATACATTTAGAAATTTGCCTAATTTTATGCGCACAAGTAAGGGGACCACTTATGTATGTAAAGTCACATGTGTACTTGATTGTTTGCAAGCCTCTGGTTTTAGATTCTGCACAGTACGAGCAGCAGGTTAAACTGGGGGTTAAACTTTGACTATGCATAAAGACATTAAACTCTGAAGTCAAATACAGTTCTTTCTTATATTTCTCAATGTCTAAGTTTCTTGCTATGTGTAATATCCAACTTTTGGGAATAAAGAAAGGTTTTTTTCCTAACCTAAAAACTGATGCAAAAATACGTGTTTCTATACCTGTAAATTAAATGCATCATTATAATTTTATGTTATTGAAACCTGACCCTGTCAAATCAATGTATTTTGTAATACAATAGTTCATCATATTGTTTCTATCCAATGTTTAAAATTATTCCATGCTGCAGACTTTAGGGATTTTTTTCCCCCGTCACTGAAATTTAAGTGAATCATAGACAAGCAGGAAAACATAGGTCTGTGAGATGTTGATGCCCGACAATGGATTCTGATTACTTCTTTGCCAGAAGCAAAGAAAACAGTCACAAAGTGAACGCTCTGCAGCATGACATCTCACAACTCAAATTTTAATCTTCTAAATCAAATAGAAAAACATAAACAAGTTCAGCTACTAAAATCATATATGCTATGAGATTCATGTAGCATCTTATCTTCATCAGCTTTACCTTATATGGAGCCACTGAAGAAATGGATAGGTAATTTCACAAGACCATCGATCAAAGTCATACCTGTAAACTCCACTGTGAAGTCAGTGAAATTATACCAGAATTATTTTGGCTCTGCCTGTTCTTGGAAGATTTTACATTTTATCAGTTTGTGATTACATTAAAAGACTCTCTATTTCACTCTAGACCAGTGGTTCTCAACTAGGGTGCCAATGCACTGAGGGGTGCCATGAGATCCTTTCAAGGGTACCACAGGGTGCCATGCAATATT